TTTTCTTTTTTTATACGCTTCCTCTAACACTTTCATCCTTCCTCTAATACTCATCCCTTCAACTACCCTTCACTCAGAACTCAGAAAACTATCTCTACCTCTGCAACCTCTTGTGGTGCTCCAGATGCACAGCCAGTTGTCCTCCAGACAACTCCAGCTTGCTGGCATGTTAAATGCATCTCCAAAGCTGAACTCTTCTCCTTCATACTTGATTCTTCTCTTCTCCTTCAACCTTACTCTTACCACCCACTTTACATTAGACAAGTCACAAAACCAGTTAATTCTCCCTCCTACTTTTCTTAGACGTTCTGACTCCTCTGTCCTCACTACATCTATTCTTGTCTGACCTTTTAATCTCTTTCCCATAGTAATGCACTGTCCTCAATGACCTCCACTCTTGCAGGTCCCCATCCTCCACTTCCTCACCCTCACAGTGATTTTTCATCATTTCTCAGTGATTTGCTGGTACACATGGGGCAGAAAGTGTGCCCTGAATGAACTACCTAGCTTCATTTGCTTTCACTCTTGACCTGCCCCTCATGAGCTAACCTGCCTACAGTACATGCCAGGTTCCCACTCAAAGCCATACAATGACCTGTGCTTTTCACTCCCTCTTGGAAATTATTTCTGCTCCTTGTCCAGCTGCCCATTTCTACTCAGCTTTCAAGTCTCAGCTCAAACACACCACCACTAAAACTCCTCCCTGGCATTTCCATCAGGGATCAAGAGGTCTTGCTAGGTTTCAATTACATTTAAACCTACCTAATCTATAGCAAACAACAGACTATATTTAAACTATATATAGACACCCACTGTCCTACTACACTATAAGCTCCTTGGTGAAGCAGCTCTATTTTATATCTTCAGCACTACTTCAATGCATATAATATACGTTTTCTAAGTGGGAAAGGGTTAATGATTGAACTATAAGCCAACAAAAGAGCAAGAAAATCAAGCACACAGGGGAAAACCAATCTTAAGAAATGATAAACATCTATTGTTATGCCTTACTCAGAAAAATGTAGAGTGGTTATCGGATATTATCAAAGTAACAAAGAAAAAAAGTTGTATTTTGAGTCTGTTTTTTGAGACAGGGTCTCACTGAGTACTTCATACTGGCCTTGAACTCACTGTATATTCGAGGATGGCCTCCAACTCACAGCAATCCTCCTCCCTCAGCCTCCTGAGGGTGAGTATTACAAGCATGCACCACCACACCGGGTCAAGAGTTTAAACGAGAAATAAGGACATAAGAATTTTCACTGGAACAGCTGACAAAAACCAACAGCCAGCCAGAGAAAACGATGGCACTTTCTGGGAGCCAAGCAGTTCACTTAGCCAAGTCTATGGCATGAGCAAAAGTCCATGGACCTCTCTCCGCTCACCAGCCCTCTCCCTGATCTGTACTTTGCATACCCCTTCCCCTCCATGGCATCCACAGGTTGATTAGATTAGTGTGGATATAAAATGGGAGGTTCTTTCTTCCTGTAGCCCAGTAGGACTAAGAGGGAAAAAAAAAATCAAGCTGTAATTTACTAAGTCCCTATTATACGGCAGGTATTTTTCTACTTTACAATCACTGAGTCTCACAGTCACTATAATCATCCTATTTTACACATGAGAAATTGGTGTCCATGGTCACGACTAAGCAAAGATAGGGCCTACCCCAAAACTCAAGACTGACAGCTTCCAGGGCCTTTCTATGCCCTGCCATCTCCTGGAAAGAAAGGGAAATGTGATCTAGCCATTCTAGGCTGGATCTGGGAATATAATTTTCTCCAGACTATTATTGGATCAGTTAAAGTAACCATTACCACTAATAACATAATGGGTACACAATGAGTTCTTAAAACTGTGTGGTGTTCTGACCTAGAAATCTAAATAGTGTTCATTATTTTTATTCCTGTAAGTTGACTGTCCTCTAGAAACCTCCAGCCCACCAGCTTACCATTATTACAAATCATAATAGATGTGAAAATGAACTTTTGGTAGAAAGTTTTTTTAATGGATGTGAAAATGAACCTTTGATAGAAATAGGTTTTTTTAGTCAGGCTTCTGTTTATGAATAGTTTTGCTTCTAAAAAATAATCAATGTAAAAATCACCAAGGATACAAACTATTTTTCCTTCTTAACTGCTGAGAACAATGACAGTAGAAGACACTGGTGGGAAATGTGCTTATCTGGCCAGGTGCTCATTTCTACTGTGCTGTCATTTGAATAAAACATCATGCTAAGCCCTCTAGACCAGAGCTTGTAATAGAAATGCCATAAACTACAGCACTGCAGCTGATACGCCTATAATCTACTGACAGAATGTACTCCCTAGCAGAGCGAAACCAGATGTCTGGTGTGAAATCAGATGTCTGTGGACTTGTCTATCTCAGCTTCCAGAGCAGTTTTAGATACGCTAAATATACAGCTTAGCTGTATATTAAACCCACAACTAGGCAAAATCATGACAGTTTGGACATGAAGCATCAGCATTTTTATTGTAATTCTTATAAACCAAAGACATTACTGAAATAGAAATCCCAACTTTAAGCACTTGCTACATGCAGTATTATGTCTCTCTCACTTGGTTGACAGTGTCAGAGCTTTTTAAACATATTACAGAAACACTTTCCCTTCATTTTTCAAGCTGCCATTCTTTAACCAGGGCTGCAGAATTATCTGATACAGGGAAACTGAGCTACACTTGGTGTCAGTCCTTGTCCCAGAAATTCCAAGATCAGATACAGCAGGTGATCCACTGTGAAAGTACATATACCCGGGGGGGTGGGGGGGGGGGGCTTAGCACCTAGAGAAAAACATTAGATTGCCTTCTTCTACGGAAAGAAAAATCCTAAGAAAGTAATCGTCAATCAGATAGAGAAACAAGGAGGGAAATACATGCCAGGAACCAATTTTTACAGTTTTTATATATTCATTATTCTGTTTGACAGATGATTGTAAAGGAGCAGATGTTTTAAGTAGAACAAAATGACAAAGACAATAAAATAAGTGCCAGGATTCAAAAAGACTGTAGGGGCTGAGAGTGTATCTCACAGGTAGAGCCCTTGCCTAGCATGTATAAGGCTGGGTACTTGATCTCTAGTACAAGAAAATATAAATAAAAGACTATAAAAGGCATCCTACTTCTATATGAGGAATTGATATAGAGTAAGGCACAATGGTAAATAGCGAAAATGTTTGAGGAAAAGGGAATAAATTTACAATTTTACAAAATAGCTGAAACAAATGTGCATCTTATGTTGTGTAGTTTTGTTATATAATACATGTTATATAATGTAATATATATATACACATATATGTATGTATGAACCCAACATACCAATAGCTATCTAAACTGTATGTATACTTAACATATGCTAAGTTGTATGTATGCTTAACATTTGTATGTGTACTATAAACTGTGGATTAAGTGTTTATACATAGGAAATAGAACGCTGAGATAACATTGCTAACAACGATCATCACTTCCTTTTATATTCCTGCAATATTTAGTTCTCAACTTTGTTTAGACTTTATAATTAAAGACAAAGGATTTTTTCTCACTTAGATAAATAAAGCTAAATGCACAAAAACCCATGAAAGTTAATAGTGTCCTTCAGCATTTATTTTCCTAAGTGCATCCTCCTCTCCCAATGTTTTATTATGTTAGGCCTTCTTATGGAACAATTCAAAGACCTATTCTCATATAATTGTTGTACTTGCACAAAATATTTATTACAACAGAAAATGACTGTCCATTATAAGACACAAATCGCCAGTCAGTCATCCTTGAAAGTCTATCACTGGCTGTGTTAGAAAACCAGAATAATACTGTTCTTCTGCAACAGTCTATAGAGTCCAAACCATGAAGACCAGTAGTACAGGGAAGTTCTTGTCCACGTATGCATAAGTATGCGGGAAATCCACAGAAAATTGGCAAGAAGCCTGTCCAAAATTGCCATCTCCATCCAGTTACAAATGGGTTCAGCACATGGCAGAAAAGAGGTAATAAATATCTTCTCAATCAATACATGAACTTAGCATCAGTAAAAAGCCCATTTCCTGATTTCTCATAAATTATGTGGTCACTTGTAGTACACAATAAGGCAGCTTCACACCAGCCAATGCCAACATGGTCAGAGGGCAATACTGGTTTTCAGGTGTCAGCATCCAAGGAATTTACTATCTTCTTGCTTGTAGCTACCTTCAATTTTTAACTAACTTAGAATGTTTATTTAAATGTGACACAGGATGCTACGGGACTCCCAAACATGAGAAGTTGTATTTCATCTCACCATACAGGGAACAAGGAACCGGTGTAGTGGACAAGCGACAGCCAAGTCCTGGAGAAGAACCAATGGAAGCAACCACACTGAAAATCCCAGGAAACTTCCCAGGACTACAGTGTGAGTTTAGTAGCTTCTCACAAGTGAACAGAACGCTTGTGGGGGGACAGCAAAGCAAAAGTCAAGAGAAAAATGCGCAGCCTGGTAATGTCTCCTAACCCAAATTTCTTCAAGAATCCTGAAAGATCCCAAGAGAATGGCAACATTTGTAGCACTGCTACGATATTAAACTATGTTTTTAGGTCCTAAAGGATTTTTTTTCTTTCTTTTGTTTCTCAGTCTACTTTTTAAAAATGTGAATGTCCCTGGAGGAGCACCTGTTAATTACCAAGCAGGTCACTGATTCCTTAATACAGTCTGAGGATTAGTCAGAGATAGCTGATAAACTATAGGGCCCAGGCAGACAACTCCAGGGCCACGGATTCAAGAGGGGAAAACAAATCAGCTTCCCATAGGGTCAAGGGACTAAAACGGGCTCAGGCTGTCCAACTTCCCGCCAACCCCGCAGGCAGATCGGGACACGTGGCCGCTGCGCGCGGGTCTTCAGGTCCCCACAGAGGCAGAGCTTGCCCCTGGGTCCCCGGGCAGCTGGGTCGCCCTGCCGGCTCGGAGCCCTCTCAGGAGGAAGGCCTGGCTGCTTCCCCCCAGCCACCCTTACTTACCCTTTCTCCCGCTCTTCCTCGGCGAGAAGGGGTAAGTGGTTATTTTGTGCCCTCGCCCAATTTGGCCAAGACCCTAAAAGTGGAAGAAAAAAATGACAGAGGCGGACAGGTGCTTTAAAACCTCGTCGTACTCCCTGAGAGCTCCCTCCCTCCCGCCGCCCGCCCCGCCCCGGGCCCACAGCGCCCCCTCACGCCCGGTCCGGCGCCCTCGGAGGGGACGGCGACCCCGCTCAGGCCGACCGCGAGAGGAGCG